GATATAATGGAATATCATTGGCTAGCACTTTGCATACAATAGGAATATTTAGTTTAATGAGATCGGCCACACTCCAACTCAACCAGTTTGCATATAGGTTACCTTCTTGTGCATTGGCAACACTTTCCCACCTACAAACAGCACTAGTCAGTTTATCTTGAAGTAGTAAGGGTGATGTTGGATCTTTCATCACCCTTGGAAGTGCTGAGCTGCTCAATTCTTTCACATATGGTTGGGAGTTTCAGCTCCTCCCTCATGTTGATGATTCTTGTGCATCTGGAGGCACTAAAAATTATCCTCATGTATCTTTATTTTGGATTTTCTCTAAAGCTCTCAGCCTATTGCCTTTGAGACAAATAAGGTGCAGGGCATGGTAGTTGACTAGTGATCTGACTTTGAATCAACAACAGGACACGTAGCATCACTACCACTCCCGTTGTCAACAACAGGACACGTAGCATCACTACCACTCCCATTGTCAACAACAGGACACGTAGCATCACTACCACTCCCGTTGTCAACAACAGGACACGTAGCATCACTACCACTCCCGTTGTCAACAACAGGACACATAGCGTCACTACCACTCCCGTTGTCAACAACAGGACACGTAGCATCACTACCACTCCCGTTGTCAACAACAGTACACATAGCGTCACTACCACTCCCGTTGTCAACAACAGGACACGTAGCGTCACTACCACTCCCGTTGTCAACAACAGGACACGTAGCGTCACTACCACTCCCGTTGTCAACAACAGGACACGTAGCGTCACTACCACTTCCGTTGTCAACAACAGGACACGTAGCGTCATTACCACTCCCATTGTCAACAACAGGACACGTAGCGTCACTACCACTCCCGTTGTCAACAACAGGACACGTAGCATCACTACCACTCCCGTTGTCAACAACAGGACACGTAGCATCACTACCACTCCCGTTGTCAACAAGAGGACACGTAGCTTCACTACCACTCCCGTTGTCAACAAGAGGACACGTAGCTTCACTACCACCCCCGTTGTCAACAACAGGACACGTAGCTTCACTACCACTCCCGTTGTCAACAACAGGACACGTAGCTTCACTACCACCCCCGTTGTCAACAACCACGAAGTTGTACTTTAGTTTTTGGTAAATTCTTTATTATAATAATATTATAATTCACAAGTACAATTATACAGGAACAGGAATTATAAGGGAGAAATTACTAAGCCAGGATGATTACATATCTCTTTATTATAATTAAAATACTATAATTTATTATACAAAATTTGTTTGTTTTACAGGACTTTTTCTGTGGTTACAGGTCTATCGGTGCATCCGATGTTAGGTCTGACACCGGATAGCCTCAGCCCTGGTGAGGATAGGGATTGCTGTTGCGCTCAAAGACAGCTTTTTCTGCTGTGAAAGTTATATTGGTGTATCGGAGGATGTCATATCCGATCATGTATTCTATATCATAAAGCTGCAGGATGTATACGTCTGTGTGGAATGTAAGACCTTGGAATTTTATTTCTGCGTTCCTTATGACGTGTTTTGTTCCTAATGTCTTATCGTGCAAATTTGTAACTTCTTTCAGTGCACACGATTCAATTTTAAGACCCAGTTTTCTGGCACGACGTCTGCTCATAGTTGTTATGGAGGCACCAGTGTCCAGAAAAGCCTTCGATCTCTTGCCGTTGATTTTGGTTTTTAGTCTGATGGAATCGTAGTTTGTGACAAAGTACTTCGTGTTATCCTCCAACTTGTGCTTTTTCACTGGCCGCATTATTAGTCGGGGATTTGTCAGGTCATTGATTATTGTACAGTTATGGGCAACTAAAACATCCATGCCCAGTAAGGATTCATCTGCGGGTACATCAGCAACATAGATCTCTGTATCCAGGGATAAATGTGCTTTCCGGAAATAAGGTTTAGCTTTCAGGACCCCCGTGTAGATCTTTGAGAGGTCCAATTGCTTCCACTCGTTATCATCTATGTCTATGGACTCCATTTTATTTAAACGCTTAAAATCCTTGCCCATTACGGCCTCCAAGCCATGTTTCTTCATAATGGGAACCGTGACGAGGGTGTCGCGTGAGCCGGTGTCCACCGCGAAATTAACTCTCTGCCCTTCTAGCTGTACAGATACTAACATATGATGGCCGGCCCGGTGAAGAGGGATAGACGCCTCTTGTGATGCTCGTTTCTTGTGTCCCATTGTTCCGCTTGATAGTTTTATACATAACTGTCGTTAGGAAACCTGACCTGTTGCTTATATCCGTGATACAATTTATTTAGTTAGGCGGCAAGTGTTTAGTTAGGCTGCAATAGTGTTTAGTTAGCTATACAATTAAGTGTTGTAATTAATATAACTAACTAAACACTTAAAATCTGTTGTTGACAACGTGTCCTGTTGTTGACAACGGGAGTGGTAGTGACGCTACGACGTGTCCTGTTGTTGACAACGGGAGTGGTAATGACGCTACGTGTCCTGTTGTTCACAACGGGAGTGGTAGTGACGCTACGTGTCCTGTTGTTGACAACGGGAGTGGTAGTGACGGTACGTGTCCTGTTGTTGACAACGGGAGTGGTAGTGACGGTACGTGTCCTGTTGTTGACAACGGTAGTGACGCTACGTGTCCTGTTGTTGACAACGGTAGTGACGCTACGTGTCCTGTTGTTGACAACGGTAGTGACGCTACGTGTCCTGTTGTTGACAACGGAGGTGGTAATGAAGCTACGTGTCCTGTTGTTGACACCGGGAGTGGTAGTGAAGCTACGTAACCTGTTGTTAACAACGGGAGTGGTAGTGATGCTACGTGTCCTGTTGTTGACAACGGGAGTGGTAGTGACGCTACGTGTCCTGTTGTTGACAACGGGGGTGGTAGTGAAGCTATGTGTCCTGTTGTTGATAACGGGAGTGGTAGTGACGATACGTGTCCTGTTGTTGACAACGAGTCATAGTGACGCTACGTGTCCTGTTGTTAACAACGGGAGTGGTAGTGACGCTACGTGTCCTGTTGTTGACAACGGGAGTAGTAGTGACGCTACGTGTCCTGTTGTTAACAACGGGAGTGGTAGTGACGCTACGTGTCCTGTTGTTGACAACGGGAGTGGTAATGACGCTACGTAATCTGTTGTTGACAACGGGAGTGGTAATGACGCTACGTGTCCTGTTGTTGACAACGGGAGTGGTAGCGACGCTACGTGTCCTGTTGTTGACAACGGGAGCGGTAGTGACGGTACATGTCCTGTTGTTGACAACGGGAGCGGTAGTGACGCTACGTGTCCTGTTGTTGACAACGGGAGCGGTAGTGACGGTACATGTCCTGTTGTTGACAACGGGAGCGGTAGTGACGCTACGTGTCCTGTTGTTGACAACGGGAGTGGTAGTGCTGCATCGTGTCCTGTTGTTGACAACAGGAGTGGTAGTGACGCTACGTGTCCTGTTGTTGACAACGGGAGCGGTAATGACGCTACGTAATCTGTTGTTGACGCCAGAAATAGTGTAAGGGAGGTTATCCATGATCAAGGGTGGATAATAGCCGATAGAAAGAGCAACATATGTTTAGGGAATTGGATAAAGCCTATTGTCTTTACGTTGCGCTGTACGTGAGATCTATGTAAGGTGCCACACACTGTAGGTGATGTGAATTCAAATAATAATAATAATAATAATGTTTTATTTAGGTAAGGTACATACATACAATAAATTTTTACAAAGATTGGTTGACTTATAGGTAAGCTAGTACATACAATGCCTAAAGCCACTATTACGCAAAGCGTTTCGGGCATGATAAACTTAAATGACAAGCTTAATACTAATTGAGCATAATGAGTAGATGAAAACAAGAAATGAAAACATAGATGAAAAAGCAGCACAAATACAAATATGTCGACAAACAGCGCTTCTTTCTCGTATTCTAAGTAATGCTCATTGACCTCGCTGAGTCTGCACTGAAAATATATTCAGCTTACCAATCAGTAATGCCCTGGTTGAACGGGTATTTTCAAGAGTAACATCTATGAAAACTAAACTGAGAAATCGAATGGGACTTGAGCTTTTGACATCAATTTTGAGAATCAAGACATATCTTGAAGAAAACGGAACTTATTGCTCATTATTTGAACCACCCATGTTTAGTTTAGTTCATTTATTATGCACCCCATATACCATCTTGTGGGCGGTAGTGGAAAGGGTTACAGAGGCACATAATGGGCTCAGGGACTGAACCCCACAATTCATTTAGCTAAGCAAGTTACACTCTTGATGAGCTAGTTACAAAATTCATTTTACGTCGTCACATCATTAATGGGTTTTGGGTAGTAGAACCCCAAGCACAGATACGATAATTGAGATAAGGATAGATGAAAGAGTTATAGAGCGTTACAAGGGCAGGGCGAGGTACATAATATCTAATCTTAGAAAGAATGCCAACAGTTTTATAAACTTTTTTTGCTATATGTTAAATGTGGCCCTAGAAATTAAGCTTGTTATCGATGAGAACTCCAAGAAATTTACCATCTGCAGTACTTTGTTACTAATTTGGATATTGTTAATTTTTAGATTAATATAATCTGAGGATTTATTACCAAACACAGTATAGAATGTATAAAAGCTATCCTCCTCCTCCTTGTATAATAGCTGGCCGCCTTACATGTGTATGGCCTACCGTGGTCCTTGTGGCACAGTGGTAAGACACTCACCTCGCGAGGGCTTTGGCCTGGGTTCGTATCCTGGCCGGGGAGGATTGACTGGGCCCCAATCCATAACCTCTGTTCACCGAACAGTCAATGGGTACCTGGTTGTATTCCAGGAAAAATTACGATTAATGACCTGCTCGAAATGCTATACGTGCTAGTGACTATACAAGACTGTAAGAACTCTCGTATATATTAATACAAATGAGGCTGGGTGAGCCCCTCCCCGGCTATGAGGGAGAGGGAGAGGGTGAGGGAGAGGGAGAGGGAGAGGGTGAGGGAGAGGGAGAGGGAGAGGGAGAGGGTGAGGGAGAGGGAGAGGGAGAGGGTGAGGGAGAGGGAGAGGGAGAGGCAGGAAGGGAGCCACGATGGGCAGGGAATGGTCAGACTTGCTGGGTGAGTGTGAGGAGGAGGAGGCCACAGCCCAGCTCGGTGAGTCTGTCTTTTCTCTCTTTCTACTTCTTAATCCTTTATAATAATCCTTCATAAAGTTAACATCTTCCTTGCTGAGGAACGCTGCACGTTTTGGATTTATTTTGGCTCTTTATTAAATATATGTTTCATCTTATTTTGTCTTGTATAGTGGCTTTGCAAGAATTTTATATCATGCATACTTTATATCATACAACATATATGATACATTTTATATCATACAAGCTTTATTGTTGTATTTACTTGTATATTGAAAATTGAAATAAGTTTATTGAGGTAAAATAGCCATAAAGTGATGAGGCAGCTGAAGGTCTCCTCGCCCCGTGGAGTACAACGTGAGCATACATATATATATATATATATATATATATATAGACACACATCACAAACAATAAACATATTACCCAACATTCTGAGAGATAATACTTGTAAATGTTTAATAGATAACAAAAATAAGCTTTAGGTTGTTGTGGGGGGTTGGTATGTAAAGGTAAGATGAGATAAGATGTTTATTCAGGTAAAGGTATGTATTAGTAGGTGTTGGGGGTTAATAATTAAGTATTCTTGTCTTTATCTGGTTTATATAACTCGTATAGTACTCTAGAACAGCTGCTGAGTACTGTGATGACTTAGCCCAGAAGGACAGCTAATTAAACATTTGAGAATTAGGTTCAGTCAAATTCACACAGACTTTGTGACGAATTTCGTCTTCTAATTGTTACAATATAATGAATTTACCTGAGGGCCACTGAGGGGACAGGAAGCTGGTGGCTTGTCAAAGGTCCCCCAGGTTAGGTTACCCCCAAATCTATTGGGTATATTTCAAAATTCATTAGCAAACCATCTTGGGGTACTTAATTACCTGTAGTCTTTAAAAATTACCCAAATTAGACAATTCAATTCAATTTCTTTATTATGCACCCCATACCCATCCCGTGGGTGGTGGTGTAAAGGATTACAGAGGCACATAATCGGTTCAAATTAGGCCAAAAATAAAATCATATGTACCTAGATAACTGTACCCAACTTTGGCATTGAGGCTGTGGATACAATCATAGCCTGGAGTAGAAGGATATAGGCTTTTAAGACTTACTTAATCTAACTATCTAGTTTAACCTAACTATATTCTGTATACAATTTTAACAGAAAGAAAGCCTTATTGAAATGTGTGCAGGTGTATCATTTAATTATAGTGTATACCTTAGCACTGCAGCAAGTTCATGCACAGATATGTTGTGCATTGGTCGTTGTGGTTTCCCATAGTTGGTGACAGCAATCTTGTAAGGCTCAAACTCTTATGTACCTATTTACTGTTTGATGAACAGTCTTCAAGGAAATGTTGCTCAAATGCATCTGTAACTAGACTGCTCTGACCACTGTGCAGCTACTGTACCTGTATAGTGTATAGCAGTTTTTTTCCCATACTCGACAATCAGGTTTACTCATCCTTGATACAGGACAGTATTTATTTACTTATTTATTTATTTATTTATATACATACAAGAAGATACATTGGGATTGTGAGGATACATAATATAGTAATTACAATCTTGTAAAGCCACTAGTACGCGCAGCGTTTCGGGCAGGTCCTTAATCTAAGTACTGTACATGTATGGTGTTATGTTTTCCATCTGAATGCAAAACGTCTGTAAAACGTGACATGATCAATGTTATGGTTCGCCCAATTTAAATATAGGTCTACATAAAACTTCCATTAATTGCTTCATGGTAAATTGACTATGAAAAAAAGTACAACATACATTTAGTCCTGTTTATTATAGAATTATAAATTTTTATGCAAAAGGTAAGGAAACGAAAGGAGGGGGAAGTAATTTTCTGATTAAATTGTTTACCCCATTATACCTATAGATAAATTTTTTATCAAAAATATTTTAAGTTTTGCCCAAAATGCTTTGCATGGTAGTGATGTATAACCCCTGCCCCTACAATTGTCACCTCATCTTATGTTCTTTGTATGTACATTCTTATTAATAAAATTTTTATATTATCTATAATATTATTGTTATTAATATGGGCTTGATGCTTAATATACTGTACATGCTGTAATGTCCTTTATTGGTCTATGTGAGGTTGAATTGTTCAGCATGTTATTGTAGACTAAAACTATCTTGCTAACACAGTGCTTTATTAAAAGTAAATTAAAATCACCTATGCAAACCCTTGCCAAAATCTAATAGTTTTGGAGGGGGAACAATCATTTTATAGACCAGCATGTCATAATGATCAGAGGTTTGCTGTGCCAAATACTGGGTAGAATACTGTAGTTGGTTAATATGTACCCTATACCCATTTTGAAATGCTTGTTGACAAATTTTTTGTTTGTAGATATATTGCATCTCTCTAGACCAGAGTTTCTCAACCTTTGTACCTTAAAATAATTCTAGGTTGTATGTTAGAAAAACATTCACAGATTTTATTGTCAACTAAAAGGAGACAATTTCTGTATTTACTCTCAATACTGGTTTAATGGGAAAAATGTAATTAAAAAATAACTAAAATACTGTATATTTGCATATGATAAGAATTAGTTTATTTATCACTATCTTTTGAGGGACCCCGATAGAACCCCGGTTGAGAAACACTGCTCTAGACACTATAACTGCTCTCATAGGTGCAGTAAAGCTGCCCTGGCTGCCCAACTCCTCTGCATTAGGACTAGATCTGGCTAGTCCTAATGTGAGCACAGTGAGGCTGGCAATTGGCTGAATCTCAGGCAGCATATACCTGCAGGTGGCCAATCATGTATTGATGCACTGCTAATGACTGCATTGATCATGACCATTGCTTTATTAGGCTATTGATGCTTAGCATTATCTAATATTTGTCTGTATTTTTTACAGAAATATGCAACGGAACTTGGTCTTTGTCTATGGAACCTTAAGGCAAAATGAGTTTAATCATAAATGCTTGACAGAAGAAGAAAATGGGAGGAGCAGGCTAATAGACATTGGTACTACAAAGGAGAAATACCCATTAGTAATAGCATCACGCTATAACATTCCCTACGCCTTGGCTGCTCCAGGAAAAGGAGAGGTACAGTGTGGAATACTGTATTATACAGTACTGTACTGTACAGTATTACACTTGGTTTTATATCTGTACCTGCCATTAAATTATCAAATACTTTACTTTAAAATAGAGCAGGTGATGACTGAGAAGCATTCGGTGCACGTCTGGCTTTAGCTGCGGATAGATTATTTAAATTAAAGGTATACTAGTACTGTATATATTGGTGTCTTTTGGGAGGAACTTAAAAATATCCTTTCAGTCTTTAAAAGAGTGGCCATCATCAAAATTGTCACGTTGCCTGCATGCAAAGAAAAAACAAATAATTTGTTATTATAGAATTATAAATTTTTATGCAAAAAGTAAGGAAACGAGAGAGTGGGGGAGTAATTTTTTGGTTTGGTGCATGTTAAGAGGGAGGCAGGTTAAGGAGTCGGCAAGATACTGTAGTAGCATATCTTCGCACCCTCTTCCAGTTTATTAATGGGCTTTTGCCGATATGGGCACCATATTACTGTTGCACATTCCAATTTTAGCCTTATAAATGTGTATGTAACTAACCATTGTTTGTTAATGACTATACTACATACTTATAAAAGCTCATTAACAGGAATGTGGTGTTTGCACATTATTGATATGAGTAAATTGTGTGATCTTCATTTTTTTTTCAGTATATTGAAGGTGAAGTCTATGAAGTTGATGACAAAATGCTTGCAACGCTTGACAAATTGGAAGATCATCCTAGATATTATGAAAGAAAGGTAAGTTCACTGCAATCTAAATTGAAGGTCCTTTACTTACTTGTAAAGCTATCTTATAAGATATTCTTTGGAATGTGCATGTTTGCTGTTTTCACTAGATATTTAAGCAACCCATCAAATTCATAGATATCCTCAAAATGCACCAAAACACCAAAATACAGTAATACTTTTGGATGAAAAATTAACCAATCTTGTGTAAAAAAAAAATAGATACATGACAAGAGGATTACAAATTCTTTTTCACCAATTTGCAGCATTTCTTAAGGAAAAGTGAGCCAGTGTATGGCATAACAGCGGAGGTTTACAATGAAGGGAGTTTTTTGGGGTTTGCAAGAGAAGGCGAATGATGATAACAAAGAGGAAACATATAATATAATAAAAATAAAAGCAGACTTTAATCAATGTTTGGTATATTTTTATCTTTTGGATGTTTCCTTTCAGTTGTAGTGAGGACATACAGTAGCAGGATTTTATCCATGTTTGAGGGTAATCAAAGTATATTACATTATTACATGAAAATTACTTCCCACAAAGGCTTGCCTGGTGAGTCAAATTACAAGTGGGTCTAGTTGGTCGCTCCACTATAGAACACAACACGACTCGTTTTTACATGTGCTTGTATGTCATGTTGTTTAAAACATGAAATCACACTTAACATTCTTACACATTTTTTTTTTCAGATAATAAAGGTTTTGCTGCAAAAGTCTAGGGAGGAAGTTGACTGCTGGATATATTTACTGTTCAAGTACAAGCCACACATGATGGAGTTGCCCTTCCTTAAAGCATACTCCTCAAGTGGTAACCATGGAAAATCGTATTGTGCAAGGTATTTGCGTCAGGGTCCCGAAGAAGAGTACTGGACTGATGTGAAATTTGTAGAGCCTACTTTTGATTGTATATCATAAAATCTTGCTCCCTCAATTTTGTATTTATGCCTCCAATTAAAGTAGGCAAAAATATATAATTTATTTTATTATTGATATAGGTAATGATTCAATAATAATAATAAAGATACAACAATAATAATAATAATTAATGATATAATAATAATAAAATTTGCATTAATACATTTTTGTACTAAACTGTACAGGTAAAGTATTTATCCACACAGTACATAGCAACAGACAGAACTAGTAGCACAACATTTGTGTAAAACCTCGGCAAAAGCAGCACCCTACAACTTCACAAGTTGTGTTGTGCATCGCTCCTCATGAGCTGTTATTTCAACAAAAAGGAATAGAAAAAAATTTCATAGACCTGCTACATCTAGACCTATTACAAAGTGTGTTGGTGAATCTGTCTAATTAAGTGCCAGCACTGGCACAGTCATTCTCATGCACCATACTGAGACAGGGGACAGGGAACTTAAAGACTGCCATGAGGATATTAAATCCTTGAAGCCCAAGGTTGTTTTATCCTCCAGGTTCACGGGTTCACTCGATTTCCTCTTGGCCTTCATTACCAACTCCTTAGTGTATATAACATGTATGATTGTTATGACAGCCATTGACAGTCTTCCTGTCTCTGACAAAATGAATTACTATTAAAATTATCGTGTCATAAAAATCATCTATCATTACCATACAAAAATGTCTTCAGATAACGTAAAGTTCCTTTGCTCAAATTCCTAAACATGCTGAACATCATTCCACACATTCTCTTTTGTTATTTGAATTTTTAAAGCCCTATACTGTATTCCAATACAAATGCTGATTTCAAAATTGTATTTTCTATATTCCTATTGTTTAAATCTACAGTATATTGTATAACCTTGTCTTGCAAGTATAGGAACCTAAAATAAGCAACAATACTTAATGGAGTAAAGAACTGCATAACAGTTACAGTACTTTCTGTATTTCTTTGTTATAATAGCTTAACCTATGGTTCCATTTTTGTAATCTACAGTAAAATATATCATGTGTACCCAATAATCTTTATGCTATCATTTCATTAACATCTTAATGTATAACTTTTTTTTTATTTTCATTATTTCTCATCATCACAACTTTCCCTCGGTATTACATAGGTGTTGTCATTAACTTTAATTAAAGGCCAATACAATATCTACTTACATGTTAATGAGAATATATCCACTAGTTTTAAGCACTTAGATTAAAATTGACTAATGATTTTAATTGACAAACCTCTGCAACCTCTCATTATGTGTCTTATAATATTAGCTTTTATTTAAACACTCAAGTATACGTAGCTTTGTAGAAACGTACTTTTACCTAACATCAATTTTGTTTAATATATTTGTATCTATTCACGTTACTAATATGGACTATTTTATCTACAAAATCAAAATTTTGACAAAACCTCTCTTACTTTCTTGAAAACAAGTAAGTAAATTAATAAATGAAAAATAAACAAGTGCTCGTCAGTACAGTCTTGTAATTCAGTAATTATATAATACCCATGGTCATCCTCTTGCATATTTCCCATCACTTCTATGAAATTCACAACATAAAAAACTAATACATAATTGCATGCAATTTTATGCATGAAGTAGTACTATTACTGGTACTTACTTTCAGCCAAGATTGTAACAAGTGTTAAGTGAATGCCTGAAACAAGCAAATGTTGCTGACTGGAAAACTGGAAATGTTGTTGCCTTATGATAAAAAAAAGATAACCGTAAATTATTTCTGTTAGATATGGACATTAACTCAAGTATTGAGCCTCGGTGCATATTGGTGGAGAATTTTCTTTACATTCAATATAGCTTTCAAAGTCAGCATTTTACAGATACAACAGTTCACAACCATACAAGCTGGGACATTGTTAAACAACCTCATTTGACAACTAATTAAAGACAGATGCGAGATTACTTTTTAGACGATATTAGTGCCCACTGTTGTAGTGACGAGTCCTTCTATGCTACACATTATCTGAGAGCCATTGAAAGTTGTGACATTGTAAAGATTTATTACGGTTTTAACAATTTCTTATTCATATGAATTCAAGAAAGTACAATGGGTTGTGAAAGTACATTTGTTGATTATATGATATTTACTACCTTAGTATGTTGAAATATCATAGAAGAACTGATTCAACCTATCAATAAGATCATATTTTAGGAAATATGCATCACATGAGATACTGTACACTTGTGTAATATAACTCAATACAGGTACTTTACAGTAATTAGCAGATACACTTGTGCTTATTACTTTGGTTGTAGCAAGCTAGAACTGAACTTTTATGTACAGCCATTTGCAGCATAAATTATTATTATTATTTATTGCCTATCTATATTTTATCTTCCTTTTCAGTGAGGATGATATAAGTGATCCAGATGACATTTAGTGAATGTCATTAGGTTACGGTTCACTCTCCTTATTCAGCTTTAGCATACTCGAGATAATCTGAAATTCTCTTAAGCTTTGTCATGTCTACAGTGGTAGCAAGAGGTAAAGCTACAAAAACTTGAAGCCTCAGTAGATAAGAAAATCTTTGAACGTACTGTTTTTTTACAGTATAGTACTGTATATATTTGGTAAGCCTATAAACCCTAGAAAGGCTGACAAGATAAGGCACACCTTTTAAGTCTGTCAGGTGGTCATGTCACTGCTTCACTTCTTCATGGCTTGAAGATGGATGGGGTAGATTGCTAGCAGAGTAAATGTATTACTGTATTTTTTTTCTTAATTTTTAGAAAGGCAGGTGGTGTAAGTAGTGTATGTGGGATGGGTATAGAAATAAAGAAGTACCTGTGTACAAGTAAAGAGTGAAAGGGGTGAGGGAAATGTGAAGTAGTGGAATGGGTGAAGTGCAGGAAATATTAGAAGGTTACCTTAGAATAATTTAACTTGGCAAGTAAGAGTGGAATGATGTGTGTGGGAAAAAATGGGTGGGTGGGGGATTTGTTAGAGCGCTTGAAATAGTGAAAAGTTTGTGGTGTGACAGTCTCTCCTTGAGGAACTTGCTGTAGCCACCCATTTCTTGGGAGTGCCAGAAGTAATGAAATAAATTAAACTTAAATATTGCCATTTGATTTATCTTTTATTTGGAACTGTACAATATTTTTTTAATGGAATGCATATCTGTATTTCAGACTGCAACTTAACCTTTTTTAGATTATATATACTGTAAATGCATTTCATGGCCAGAGTACTTACCCTACTGAAATTCTTTAAAGATGCTTTGTTATGTCATAATATTTATACCTTGACACTAAATAACAATATAGATACTGATAACTGATACTTCATAGTTACAGTCAGAGGCAAATTGCATGCACCCAAATGATCCCAAACCAAGGGGAGGGGGGGGGCAAGGTACACATTTATAAGTAGACATCCCTGTGATTCAATCTTATTTACAAGTATCAGATGATATACAGTAATTTATGTGAATGGTAATCCCTTTCCCCTAATGCTGCACATAAGCAAAGGAAACAAAATTCAGTCACTGAAATTGAGTAATGCATAATTACTATGGCACAATGTCACAAGAACCAGAGGTTTGTGCGAGTCATACAATCTCTTTTGTGAATGCAATTATACTGAAATCATAGGGTATCCTAACTTATTGCTGTGACAGTTCAATTTGCAGTTTTGACCCATGTTGGTTAGTGAATCGAGGCCTGTATAGCATCTTGTCATTAAAGAAAGGAAGAAACTGACTGTATACTACAATGTAAAGTAAACAGTTTTCTTTTTCATTCATATTTACTTGAGGGCCACTAACACAAGTGCCTCGACACGGACAGGAAGGTGGCGGCTTGTCAAAAGTCCCTCTCTGATTGCCCTGATTATTGTTTTCCAGCTAGTTTAAAACTTGAGTTTGTCATTAACAATTCGGCGGGTATTTTTTATTATTATTATTATTATTAATACATGAGGTACATCTGCATTTGTGCAGCTATCCCTAGACTATTATGAAGGGGAGTACAGTGTGTCAAAAAAGCTAACTAGGTGATGCTAAAAAATCCCCATCACACAGGATGGTTAGCCATACAGAGGCATGTGATAGGCAGTCTGCAGACTAGAGTCCACTGGCAGACTCCGGATGGATTTTGAGGATATCATCAACACAAGAGTGAATAAGGTAGCTTTGGTAATAAAAGTCTCCCATCTTGCAGGATGGTTAGTCATACAGGTAGGCAGTTCCATCCCGCCAAACACACACCGAAACTACGACGTTGGTACAACGTTCGAACAAGTTTTAACACCTAACCAGTTATAACAACCAATATAGCAAGTTGTAACAACGTTCTAATACGTCATAAACACGTTAAACCAAGATGTAACAACTTTATAACAAGTTGTAACAAGCGGAAAATAGAGGCAGTTTCGGTTTGTTTCCAGGGATGGGCTTATAACCCTGAGGGTGAAAAACACCGGTTTTCAGTCCTGCATTGTGGTTATTTGTTGAGCTTGAAACCAGTACTCCTTGTTTATGTTACAAAGAGCAAATGTTAAATTTTACTTTTTGAAAAAATTCTGTTTGATATTAGCCAATACACTGATGCAAATTTTGCAAAATCTCTAATACTGTATTTGATAAAACCATTACAAGACACATGCCACCACATTTTCAGTGCCTTCTGAAGCTGCCTACCTGGATAGCTCCAAGCCATAAACACCCCATCATGCCCTTCTAAGTTAGGAGTACCTACCAGGGAGTAGAACCAGGCATCCTCAATAGAGGCTAGGTAGTCTAGGGATACAAGATTAACTCTGCCCGAAAGAAAAAAATACAAAAAGATAGAGCGCCCCAAAACAAGCAATAAAGATTTGTAACCCTATCACAAACATTGTACATACTTTTGTTCATCACTCCGTCCTATCGTAAATCCTTATCCTCATTCCTTCCAAGTAATATAGTCATAATGGCTTACCGCTTTCTCCCGATAATTATCTTGACTTTGTTATCTAGAACTAACTGCTAGTTAGCAACATACGCCCGCCAATAGATGGCAACTCAGTCAACTCCGGGCCCCAGCCTGATGCCCCTGTCAGTCATGTGTCGGGTGTTCTAGTGGGAGGAGTTCTCAATACCCTGCTGCCCTTCCTAGATTCATACATCAGCTAAGTGTTGGTAGTACTCCTGGAGATTTTTGTCTTGCGGGGGCGTGCATGTGTTCAGTCCCTTTTCTGCTTTATATGCCTTGTATAGAGACTGTTGTGGGCCTCTTCTTGAATCACTTTATATAAAAACTGTTGATATGTATATAATAATTATATACATAATATTACATATATAATAAGTATATGTATTATTGTATATATATGTATATATTATATATACAATAGTATATGTATATACTATTATATATGTATATAATTATTATATACATATCAATAGTCTTTATGTATGTAATATTACCAATTGTGTAACTTGCTTTACAAGAGTGTCACTTGCTTAGCTAAAGGAACTGTGGGGTTCAATTCCTGAACCCATTATGTGCTGTCATCGTGTCCACCACCGCGCACAGGATGGGTATGGGGTACATAATAAATAAATAAATAAATAAATAATATGTGCATGTTATTTTTCTAGCCCCACTTGTGTAAGTCTTGTTTGCCTCAGCTGCACGTGGCCAGAGTTGCATTTTTTGGATGCCACTGATAAGCCTAGTCTACCTTCATCACGGGTTTTCTTCCCCAGAGATGATTGAGGTGTTTGTCCAGTGAGGCTTCCTTCTTTCGAGGGGGGTTTTGCCTTGGGCAGTGCATGGGTTTCTGCTCCTCTGCTCGGGGAGATTGATTGATTGATGAAGATTAAGCCACCCAAAAGGTGGCACGGGCATGAATAGCCCGTAAGTGGTGGCCCTTTTGAGCCATTACCAGTGTCAAGAGCTGATACTGGAGATCTGTGGAGGTGCGACTGCACCCTGCGTGACGGGAGATGTCTCCCGTGTCGGGGAGATGGGGTTTGTTTTTATTTATGCAACCCCCCACTTCATATATATGTATGCAACCCGTTCTCGTAAATTCGTAAAGTCAATATTGACTTATTAACTACGTGCGGTGATATACTAAACATAATAGACCCTTAAGAAGATTCATAGAAAACACCGACCTTACCTAACCTTGTTAGTATCTTAAGATAAGCATCTTATTGCTTCGTAATTACAATTATTACTTAACCGATACCTATTGGTTAGGTAATAATTTTACGAAGTATCTTTATAAGTTAGGTCGGTGTTTTCTATGAATCTTTTTAAGGGTATCTATTATGTTAAGTATGTCACCTATGCACATATTAATAAGTCAATATTGACTTATTAAATTTGCGAGAACGGGTTGATGTATGTATATGTCATGGATATACATACATAGAGGGGTGCACTGTAGGTTGGTTGGGTAGTTAATGGTCCAGAGGTGAATAATGCCTCTCTTTGTTCTATTTTCGTAAGTCGGGGGTTGGCATGAGTATTGCGTATGTTCTGCTACTTGTAAAGCCACTAAACATGCTTATAAAGCCACTAGCATGCATAGTGTTTCGGGCAGATCCTTAATCTAATATATAATCTTAAGCAGGTAATTTCTAGCAAAATTAAAAATTTGTTTACAGGTACATTGTAAGTACAAAAACACATCGCAAGAAGGTACAAAAACGCATTGCAAGAAAGTACAAAAAAAATGTATAAGAAATTTGGCAGAAAAAAAGTAGGTACATTAAAGTAAATTTAGGGATACAATGTAATCCACAGTTACATTTTGGCATAACTTGAGTTTATTGCAAGATATAATGTAGCAAACTGTGTATAATGATACAAGATAGCAGCAATGATTCACGTTCATGGGAGACATCTCCCGTCACGCAGGGTGCAGTTGCACCTCCACAGATCTCCAGTATCATCTATTGATACTGGTGATGGCTCAAAAGGGCCACCACTTACGGGCTATTCATGCCCGTGCCACCTTTTGGGTGGCTTAATCTTCATCAATCAATCAATCAGCAATGATTACAATGGTAAGTTGTATGGCATAGGTACATATATTGGGGGATTGGGTAGCACTAGAGACAGTGCGAGTTACGGCACTTGGTAGGAAATTATGATGATGAAATTAGGTGCTTTTTGGTTTTATTTTTTATTAGAGGCAAAAGTTGGACAGCTTTTCAATTCATTAGTGAGTAAGTACCATAGACTAGATCCTTTTATTTGCATAGAGTATTTACACATATTAAGTTTGACTCTGGGGGATATCAAAGAGATATTTATGAGGCAAGTCCTATAGCAAGTTGCTTCTATAGCAAGTCCGCTCACAGTTGGTGTAGGTGGCTCCGCACCACTGGTTACATACTGTGCTGAGGCCAGTATAATCTCCAGGGGTTTAAGGGGTTGCTTTCAGTGGGATGGGGACATGCATGGGGCTGCTCCGTCTAAGCCTGGGGCAGAGACAGTAGAATCTGTCAGATTAACACTTCTTTTGTGTTTCTTAAGTGCCATTCAATGAACGGCCAGTTTCAATAAGGTATTGGAGAAAACAAGGCGAACAGGAAATGGAGTGGACTTCAGCGCATTGGAAGCAGGAGGAACATTGTGAACTGGGGGATTACTACGAAGTGCGTTTGTCGAAAGGTAAGTTTTACATCAAGAGGAGAAAGGGTATTAGGGAGATTTTTTAGTTAAGATACGAAGGGAAGACACAACACAGTGTTACTAGTGTTGAAACCAGGTTTGGGATGAAAGACATTTCGTTTACCTTGAGAATGTGTAAAGTAATGAAAACGCATGGGACCAGGTGATAAGAGACAAGAAGAAAGGTACAGAATGAAGGAAAACTCCTTCCCTGTAGTGACAAGAAAAAAGTTGGGAGTTAATATGATACTAAGTCTAACTCCGGACTAGCTTATTAATAGGATAACATCAGCAGCATACTCTGCAATGGCAAACGTCAGAACATCATTCAGGAACATAACATAAGGAGGTATTCAGGCCTAGAATATGCCGCCTCTTCCCCATCGTACAGACCCCACCTCAAAGGGCACAATCCCCAGCCCCCCCAATCATACACGCATTATACCCCTCAACACACGTTATTGTTGTTATAGATTCAGCTACTCGGAACAAGTTCCAAGTAACACGGGCTATGGTGAGCCCGTAACTTACCTAGCACAGGAGCGGGGCAAGTAGCACGGGCTATGGTGAGCCCGTAGTGGACTTACCTGGCACAGGAGCTGTGCTGTGTGTTCGTGCCTCAACACACGTATTCCCCCCTCTTTATACACACCCCACAAACATACACGCATTAACATCCCCCCCCCCACACACACACAGAAGAATTACCTTTCCCCCACACAGAAGGGAAGGAAGGTTGCGTCACAGAGCCTAGCCTCACCATTTACTACGAACCTCAATTTCAGTTTAGGTGTAAAGAGCTGCAAGAGTTTCCAGTACCGCTGCCAGACGGATAGAGTAATGCAGATAATTTCCTACATAATATTTGTCAACTAGGTGTGTACTGCGCCTGGTCTGGGACACAGTACTGCCACGCTTCCCTTAGACACAAGCCCTTGTTTCCGGCATTGGCTCCTTCCGGGAACATTATATCTTTTTCCAGTGTACAAGATTTCTTGTTGATTAGGTTTTCGGTGAAGAATAATTGAGTCCTTCTATTTTTGAGTTGCATAACAATACGTGTTGGAATTCTTTTACTTGTGTGGAATCCAGTCAACTGGAGCATGTGGTAAAAACGATGCTTCGTAAAGCACGTTAATACACACACACGCTCTCATTTTTAGTTGAAGTGACTACAATATTTGTGTAACGCATGATTGTATTACAATTTAAAATTGAATATCTTTGGTTAGATTGGGGGCTGGAAAAGTCTGGAAGGGTGCATCTGGCAGCGCGGGGGCGGGTCCGTCGCCAGCCACGGGCGCCAGTAGTGCATCACTCCGCCTGGAACGCATAACTGCACCTTCCATCCCCCTGTGTGTCTCCTCTACACACACCATCTCTCCTTCCTCCCCCCATTGATAACCGCCACTTGGGCTACTCATAGTACACGAGTCTGATGGCAACTTGAGTCTCGAGGAGCTTAACGGTAGTCTAACAGCAGCAGCAGCGGTGGTGGGCGTGGTGGTGGTGACGCGGGTGGCCACGGATCGATCCCCCCGGCGGGTGGCTCCAGCAGGCGGCGAGGTGCGGAGGTGACGGCGGCTCAGTCATCATGCCGGCTCCTGAGCGAGCACTGGTACCACGCCACCACTGACGTGTCCTCCTGCGTCGCCCACCTGGCCCTCAGCCCTCACCACTGACCAGGATAACACATACACCTCGGGTGCTCTCTCACACGCCGCGTGCCACACACACACACACACCCTGTGTGCCAGCCTGTATTGGGCTGCGTGTAGTAGTGCCCGGACATAACCTCTCCCTCCTGTAGGAGTATATACCACCACACAAACCACCTTCACCATGGGAGGAGAAGAGGAAAAGCCCCGCGAGCAGGTCGATGACAGCATCCGCGTCATCTGCCGCATTCGGCCCCTCAACAAGTCGGAGGAGGCGGCAGGTAGCAAGTTTGTGTGCACCTTCCCGTCTTCCCGCGGCCAGGAAGACCAAATGGTCTCAGTTGGGGTAAGTCTCCGCTTTTAAGTCTTGTTGCAAATGATTCTCGTTTCTTTCATTCTCCAAGCAGCGCTGGTGTACCAGGAGGCGCGACACACGCAGGCAGGCACGGCTTTCTCAAGCACTCTCACACCTTGATCGTTACAAGCACCCTGGGGGGGAGGGGGGGGGCTGGAAGTAGGTGTCACTCTTGACAAACACTGGTGATGGTTGAGTGCTGTGGCAGCACGCCTCACGCAGCCTGAGCGACAGAATATATCGAGTAGCGTGAGCAACACCACGCCTCACGTAGCGTGAGCAGCACCACCACAGCTCTGGTAGCGTGATCAGCGGTGCAGCACCACCTCACAGGTAGGGAAGCGTGAGGCCCGAGGGGCTAGACTACACAAACACTTGGCCAGGTAAACAACCTGATGTACTCGCCTCACGCTCCCCAAGCCTCCCAACTCTCTAAACCTTTAACTTTGTCCACTTATTGCCACTATTTTCCGTGAACAATAAGCCTCTCGAGTATCGCTTTACGTCACTCTGCTGCACTACCGCCCCCAGTAATGCTGGAACGATAATTACGTAATATTTGAGCAAACTTTCCCTATGACTCACTCGAGGCAGACGACGTCCAAGGGGACACGCACGTTCACGGCAGCGGCTACCTCTCTACTGCGAACACATTGTCTTCAAGATTGGCAGATAACCACAATTAAATCACAGAGGGTTAACCTATATTTGCTGTAAAACGAGAATTTAATCAATGTTCTTATTGAAGTAGCCGAGAATGACCTCTCCAAGGACACAACGTCAAGGGAGGGAGCTATCGAGGGCGTGGACTGTTGGAGCGAGCGAGTCTGGAGCGAAACAGCTGACTCTCGTCTCGGCTGGCGCTGCTGGGAATGCGCTAAAACACGCTCCGTCATGTTGGCATTGAGCCTGGGACCAGGTACTGGTACTGTAGTCTTGTACCCATCTGGCTGTGCTTGCGGGGGGTGAGCTTTGGCTCTTTGATCCCGCCTGTCAACTGTCAATCTACTGGTATATAGGTTCCTGAGCCTATTGAGCTTTCGTCATACCTACATTTGAAACTGTATGGAGTTTGCCTCCATCATATTACTTCCTTAAGGGGGTTCTTAACCAGGGGTTCATGGACCCCCAAGATAACTAGGGCTTTCCCTAAGAGATAATGATAATTCTAATCACATGTTAATGTATATTTGAGCCACTTTTGTGTTTATTTTTTCTTATTTAATCTGTATCAAGATCCGAGCAAAAAATCGCCTCCTTTCAGTTGACAATGAAGTAAGTGTGTTTATCTAATGTACAACCTGGAATTATTTGCAGGTAAAAAAGTTGAGAAATAAATGTATTGAATTTGTTAACTATCCGACAATTCCAATTTTCATGTTAATGTCTTTGTGGTTCATTTGGGTACTAAGTTTCCACCTGTGTTCCCGTGTTCGTGTAGTACCCGTGCTAAATAGTTTTGTCTTGATCTTCTGATAATTCTTTATCCCGTCAATTCTTCTAATAATTTTGTAGGTGGCAATCCTATCTCCCCCTAACTCTTCTATCTTCCAGTGTCGCGAGGATTAATTCCACCAGTCTTTCCTCGTAGCCTAAACCTCTTAAGTCTGGTGGCATATCTCTCAACTTTTCTATCATTTTGTTTGATTAGATATAGACTCCATGCTGGGGCCGCATATTCCAGGATTAGCCTAACATATTAGGTACCGAAGGCTCTATATAATTCCTAACACAAGTTTCTGAAGGCAATTCTTATGTTTGCCAGCCTCGCATATGTCGCTGATGATATCCTTTTGTCGTGGGCTTCGGGGGACAGGTCCAGCATGATATCAAGCCCCAGATCTTTTTCTCTTCCTGATTCTTGGAGGATTTCCTCTCAATTGGTGCCTTCTTTTCGGCCTCAATTTTTTAATTAAGCAAATATTTTTGGGTCATTAAAACGGAGAAGATTTTCCAACTGCCGCTAACGATTGTTGGGGAGCCTATCAACCATCAACATCACAGCTATAAAAGACGGCAGCACTTGCAGTAGTTTCAATAGACTTACTGAGACTGTTGCAGTAGTTTCAATAGACTTATTGAAACTATTGCAGTAGTTTCAATAGACTTATTGAAACTACAGGATTATAGTTTCCACCCACAGGATTATAGTTTCAATAGACTTATTGAAGCGGTGTAACAGAACTAGAGTAGCTCTATCTTGAGATGATTTCGGGGCTTAGTGCCCCTGCGGCCCGGTCCTCGACCAGGCCTCCACCCCCAGGAACCAGCCCGTGACAGCTGACTAACTCCCAGGTACCTATTTACTGCTAGGTCACAGGGGCATCAGGGTGAAAGAAACTCTGCCCATTGTATTTCGCCGGCGCCCGGGGATCGAACCCGGGACCACAGGATCACGTGTCCAGTGCTCTGTCTTGTAGCTGCTTGCAGTAGCTACTGTAGTTCTGTCACACATTGTTGTTGATATAGATTCAGCCACTCGGAACAAGTTCCAAGTAGCACGGGCTATGGTGAGCCCGTAGTGGACTTACCTGGCACAGGAGCGGTGCTGTGTGTGTTTGTCTCTGTCACACAGCTCTGCGCCTCATCTTATTAATTCTGCTAGAATTTACGTACTTAAAATTATCTGTTAGATTAAGGACCTGCCCGAAACGCTGCGCGTACTAGTGGCTTTACAAGATTGTAAATACTATGCTATGTATTCTCTCTAACCCAATGTACTTATTTATACTTATACGTACGTACTTATACAAAATTATTTGTATACAAATAAATAAATAAATAAATAAATAAATAAATAAATAAATAGATAAATAAGAGACATCGCTAGGTCTGGTCTGGTAGGCCCATCGACCAGGAGGCCTGGTCGACGACCGGGCCGCGGGGACGCTGAGCCCCGGAAGCACCTCAAGGTAAGTGTAGAGGGTTTCCCTAAACACCACGACCCGCCTCTTGCACTGAAAGGTGTGTGGCGGTGTAGAGCATGACGGTGGTGGAGCACTGACCTCCCCCTGAAGCCTAGCCTGTTTACCCCAGAGCACTGGAGCGGCGACTCATTGATTGATGAAGATTAAGCCACCCAAAAGGTGGCACGGGCATGAATAGCCCGTAAGTGGTGGCCCTTTTGAGCCATTACCAGTATCAAGAGCTGATACTGGAGATCTGTGGAGGTGCGACTGCACCCTGCGTGACGGGAGATGTCTCCCGTACAGCCACACTGAGGAGTAAGTATTTGGGGAGAGGGGAGGGTAGGGAAGTACTTGAATTTTGGACTTACCCTGACTACTACTGAAGCTTCAGTAGTAGTCCTGACTTCCTCTGGGCTTCAGTAGTAGTCCTGACTTCCTCTGGGCTTCAGTAGTAGTCCTGACTTCCTCTGGGCTTCAGTAGTAGTCCTGACTTCCTCTGGGCTTCAGTAGTAGTCCTGATTTCCTCTGGGCTTCAGTAGTAGTCCTGACTTCCTCTGGGCTTCACTAGTAATCAGGGTAAGTCGAAAATTCCAGTTTGGAACTTATGGAAACTTTCCTTATTAAGACTACTCAATAGCTCGGTCGATAGAGCTTCGGCCTCACACGCGTGGGGTCCAGGGTTCGAGTCTCCTACAGCCCAGGTGAATGGAATGTTTATTTCCAGGGAAGTGTGGATGACAATTTATGTGTTGAGGTGTGCTTCATGATGGCGCCTGTCACCCGCACGTTTGACAATACAGATAATAGCTGTATTGTACCAACAAGTTACCCATAGAAAACGTAACTTGTAGTGGAATTACCGTCTATAGAAAACGGGATATCATCACCACATACTATTATAATTCACCAGCTATTCTGCTGGGAATTATTCTTAAATACATTAGTCTTTGGACTCTACCATCATAAAACATCTCATATAAATTAACTTAATTATCAATATTAAAGTAGAGTAAATGTGACCCTTCTATCACTTATTGACATCTGGACAAGTAGGCCAGGCGTCAGTGAGGAAGGAGGGCAGCTATTGTTTATATTGAGACCAGAGGCTCACACGGGAGCAAATTCGGCTCCTGTTAAATTTACTTGGACGTAGTGTTATGGAAACCAAAGGTGTACCATTGTCAACACGCTGTCTACAAATTCAAGTTAAGTGTCTATCCGAAACCCGTTTATCATTCATTTATGGCCATTAATGTCAGGATATAGGGTGACCCGGTTAGATCACGTGGAAGCCTCAAACTAAAGGTAAAGGTACTAATGTACACCTGCATTAGGCTACTATTCTAACGATCGCTATGAGGTAGGAGTGAAGTATCTTATCCTGTCGTGGGTGGTGGAGGGTGGATTTGACTACTTAAGGTGTCAAATCCGCCAAGACTAACAACATGGTTGATCATGATTCACAACGTTGATCAATTCATTGATTTTTTTTGTGTCATGTGGAGGTGCAGCTGAGTGAGTCATGCGACGCTGCCACATTGGCGCCCGTAATGCACCAGACGGGACCACCGGGCGGAAATTCGGCATCGTCTCGAATAACGTAGATCGGCAGGACAAAAACAGTTGTGGTGGAGACGTTGGTGTGCGTGGCGCCAGGTGGAGGGTGAGGGTGTGTGGAGTGGGCGGCTGGTGTATGGGGTGGCAGGATGGTGGGTGTTGTGTATGGGGATGTGTGGGAGGTGTATCTATAGGGGAGGTATCATAGTATGTGTAGAGGCAGTAGCGTGCTAGACATCTCCCGTCCACGAGGCTAACCATAGCCCCTGCTTCTTGCCCCGCTCCTGTGCCAGGTTAGTTACGAGCTCACCATAGCTCGTGCTACTTGGAACTTGTTCCGAGTAGGTGAATCTATAACAACAACAAGTAGTGTGCTGTGGTGATGTTCTCACCTTACACACAGGAATCGCACTAACGTGATGCATCAAATGAACAAATTCACAAGGGCCGTGACGAGGATTCGAACCTGCGTCCGGGAGCATCCCCATAAGGCAGTGTCTGGGATGCTCCCGGACGCAGGTTCGA